GTTTAAAGTTACTGAGAGCAAAGGTAAGCTTTCAGAGTTTTTCTAGACTTAATCATTTATGCACTCGTATTTTAATATTATGACTAAATTATTTCTTATTCCGTATTAATGTGGCGATAAATAATCCACTTTAAGCCAGAATTCATCTTTGATAGTTCTTTAACTCTACTAAATGCAGATGAATCTCTATTATGTATCAAAGATGTTTCAACAGGACGATTAAGAGAATTTATTCCTCGAATTATTCATAAACTTGCGTACGCTTCCACAACTTTTGATTTTCAATCTCTATAGACTAACTCTTCTTCTGCCTTGGCTTCCTCTGAATTTTGCCTTGAATCAGGCGTTTCAGCTCTTGCTTCTACTACTACTCGATTCACCTTCAAACCTAGATTGTCCACTATTCCAAGTGAAGATTCGAAGTTCGAGACCCTCGATAGCTTGGAAATGGATGATAAGATAATCCGCTCTCACTTGCTCAAGTCTACTGGCGATGCTTCTGTTGCTCGAAGAAGCTATGCACCTGATTTTCACTCCGATGATCCTGAAGATAAATCAGTCGCTGCAGTGGCTCTGCGTCCACCTATTTATCCAGTTTCGATCACGGCTCCTGTGGCCCCTCGTTTATTCAACTCACATTCTAGAATTTCTCGTTCTGCGTTACCATCAGGTATGCCTGATGTTGGACAATCCAGGCATCCTCACAGTCACACTGCCCCACTGCCCTTATTTAGATCTCCTCTCTCGACTCACAAATCTACATTGGCGATGACTCGGTTAGTAGCTGATGATAAAGACACTAATACTACAAATATATCCTTCTCATCAGGCTTGCTACATCCTCACTTTTGTCAGATTCATAATTATAGCCACTCTCAGTTTCATCAAGGTTACTTTCATCAGTATTATCGTCATCATAGTCAGCAGCAATTGCATCAATCTTTCCAAAACCATCCACTTCTTTTTTCAAGTGGTGCCCGTCGAGGTTCTTCGCCTCTGCAATTAACTCGTGTTGGAGGAATCGTCCCAAGACATATGAAATCCATTCGAGAGTTGAAACAAGTAACTGTGGACACTTCAACACCATTGTTGACCGAAGATACTTCTGATGTGGTTTGCGATCTTGGAAATAATTCTTTACAAGTGAGCTTGGGGTCTTGTATTTTAGTTTATTTTGGGGAAATATCTTTGTTTTCCAACTCAGCTTCCCATTATTCGCATTTTTGGACATACCATTCGACTTTTTTTTTCTTGATTGTAATAATATTAAGAACTTTTGTAGATAAATTGCTCTTTTTTTATCGTATAAAATGTGTATGAATTTCCCCTTAAGTAAGTTTTTACTTGGTACATTATTTTAACTTTTGCCCCCGCCCTGCAATGATTAGCCCGACTTCTCTCATTCCTAACGCTTAATTGTCTTAGCTTATGATCTATTATAAGCATTTTAATAGTTAACAAATCGTTTCAAATTTATTTTTCCTATATTGCTTGCAGACCTTTGATAGTGCGAGTAATAAACATATCATCACCCAGGATGCCGATATAAAATTTGGCTCAGAAATCTTCCGACTTGGTCCAGGTTCCTTGATTACTCGTGCGGCTTCGACTGAGGGCAGCTTGAAACCTCAATCTTCGGATTACTTCGTCCGTGTTCATTGTTGTCCACAGCCTTACGTCAGTCTTGCTCATCTAGGCGACGGCCATGATTCCCTTTCACGGGTATCTTTGGACTATAATAAGGAGCCGAGGGAAAATTTCGAGAATGCACGGACTACCTTTAGTGAAGACACCTGTCTTCTCACTCAGGCTATCGCATCGGTAGAAGCATCACTTGACCTGCCCATCATTCGCGACACCTTGGTTGCTAATACAAGTGAGTTGCTTCGTTTTATACTGTTTAATTCTGATACTAAACTCTCGCAATCCAGCAATTTTTAAAAATACATATTGTATCGAAATCACTAATTCGGCAACCTTCAACGCCCAATGCAATGCTTTATCAGGATTTTGCACCTAAACGAAAAAAACGGATTGCCTATTTTCACTATTAGTTATAAAGTGGGGAACTTAATTAAACCAATTTCTAACACGTAGCATATTCTATTGAAGCCTCAGTTATATTGCTTCTTCAAATTTGGCATATGAAACCATTTTTACAAAGAATCAAATATACATGGGTTCATTTTTAATGATGTCTTTCGATATCTAGAAGCAATTTTTTGATTAATACGAATCATTTTTACTAACATATTCACCATACACACGTGTTAATGGTCTCCTAAAACCTTTATTTTAATTAGGAGGTACCATTGACCTAAAATACTAGTTGATTTTTCCATGGTGGAATTAAGAAAAGAGTGGTCTTGGTGATAAAGTTAATTGCTCTCTGTATCCAAATGTAGGTTTCCATCATGGGCTGAGTGCTTGTCTTTATACTAGACTTAATAATAATTTTTTCAGCAACCTTCAAGGTTTATTGATTCGGGCACATTCAGTTTTCTCGGCTTGCCTCTTGCCATTAGAAAGCCCTATATACCCTTGAATATTCTTCTATTCTCTTTATAATTTGAGCTTAGAGCTTATGCTGCAGAGTACAACTTATTGTTGTAACCTTCATTTCGTATGAACGTGTAGTAAGAGATTCGAAGGTCGATCTTGCCAGAAGAGGACGGTTAAATCCCGTTGTACTACATCCATTTGGCTTTTATACGACGTTGAGATTGATGCAGTCCACGAGATTTTCTTTTCAGGTGAAAACGGACTAAGCTTTCGTCCATCATATGATGGCCATCCTCATAGCTGGGACTCATTCTTGCAAAATTCTTAAGTTAACACTAAGACAAGATTACTATCAGGCTTTATCCTTCCTCTTATATAGTCTCAAAGTCGTATAAAATCAAAACGGCTGCAGTACAACGAGATTCAATCGCCTTCTGGTGAGATCAACCTACGAATCCCTTCTTCATATACTCCATAAGAAATGAAAGTCCCAACAATAATATTATTTCAGGAGATTAATCGAAACCCAGTTACACTTCATATCTACAGTGTATAATCTAGCCGATCATATCTAAACGAAATCTGTGTTGGCTTAGATGAGATCCCACTTTTAGTCAGATCAACCATTAGTAAACGAAGCATAGTTCAAGCCATTGTAATAAATGCATAGGAGATCCTTGTTTCTTTCGACTAATATTTTAATTTAGTCTAATATCTTAACTTTGTTTGGTTTAGAACTTTTGCTCATCTCAATTCTTTTTATTAATGACCTTTGAAAAAATACTTCCTGCATCTTCTGTATAGTAATACGTTCTTCCAGCATCAGGTACATTAACGGAAATTTCGTTTGTTGAATAATTATGCTGCTTTACCTTCACGATCTTTAGTTCTGTACTCACTTTTATGTGAGTAGAACAGGAATCTATATTAAGATTAGTGCTCCTATTTATTCCGATGAACTCGAAGTGTACGTTTCCTCTAAACGGTTTTCTGGAGCATAGTCGCATTTATCAGGCCCTTGTCTGTGTTTTTTTATTAGAACCGATATCTCCACTTAATCCCTTATTTCACCAACTTTCAATTATATTATGCTGCTCTCTAGACATATTTCTCATCCAACTGACGTACTACTTTTATTTTGTCTAGCCACTATATCTGTTATAACCTGAGCGGATGCACAATATCGACTAGCAAGTTTCCCCGTAGGACTTTTAAATGTCCACTAGGCTTTTAGTTATCCTCTGTCCTATTAGACCTTTCTAGTTTATCAGCCCACTTCCTGTAATAATACAGTGAACAACTCTTTATTTTTTACTTTTTGCTCACTAGCTTCTCAGAAAGATAATAAAACCTCGCCCCTCAAACTAAAAGGTTGATTAGTTTTTTCCCGTAGTCAATTTTTTAATAAAATTTCATTTCCTACACAAACTAGGATGAGAGCGATTGGCTAGTAATTTCGTTCCTGGATTATATTCCGAAATTATTGGTTGATTTGATTTAAACATCAATCCTTTTCGTCCATTTTTTCATAAATCAACATATATTATCGATTACAAATTGGCTTTAATAAGGTCTAATAAT